TTATTTCTTAAGATTAACTAACCTATCATTTTATACTGATGATTTCTTATTAATTTAGGTAATTTCTCACTCTATATAGGCGTAGCCTAGTTGCAATCTGATTCATCTAAACTCTTACTTTCTTTTAATGCTACATTTTTCTTTTTCAACCTTCATCTTCTTTAGAAGAATTAGTAGCTATATTTTCTGCCCTATATGTAATTCTTATGAATACCTCTGTTGATATCTATATAGATTCACAAAATATTATTTTATCCTTTGACAAAATGAACTATTCCTCTACTTGTTTTCCAACCTTTAACTCTATATTCAAAATCTCCTATTACTATATTTGATTTTTTGTTATAAAGTTAATTAGAGATAAATCTATTTCCATCAATTTCCATAAAGTCAAAGTTTATTCAGATGATTATTATAATAATACAATTGATGTTTTAGCAAAAACGGATACCTCTTACCTTATATTAAACAACAGTTTCTTAGAATATCAATATAATCAACATTTTTATGATGATATTATACTTACTTTACCAAGACACTTTGTGAAAGACCTCTTCAGATCAATTAATTTTTATAATGTTCAACTACTACCATATCTTTATAAATATAATTTAATGGATATTGATTAGCTGTATATATTCTTTATTCTTAATGATAACAAAAATCATTCATATACCTTTTTTAAAGCCTCATTTATCCATAAATTTAGAATCAAAATCATGTTTGAATTACTTTTTACATTAGAGATACTCAAGACAAAACATCTAAATTTCTATAATATATCATAAAATTGTTCTAAATGTTCGTCTATTTTTGAAAATTTTGATCACATTTGAATCTGTAATAGTATTGAATACCAAATTGGTGATATTATATCCTTTATTAAACAATTCTTCACTCAGTAATTAACTATGTTATCTTCTGACACTCATGATTTTTTTAATTTTTATAATATAGACATTTAGTTTTTAAATAATCAACTCAGTTCCTTTAGCTTTATTAACTTGATCAAAGAAATTGTACCTTCCCTCTTATTTAACAAAATCCATTATCTTATCAATAATCTTTAACTAACAAATGGACTTCTCTTCTCTACTTATCATTACGCATTTTCTAAAGTAAAAAACCTTTGGCTTGATGGATATACTATCATCAAATAATTTGAAAGTCTCAATAATAATATATCACTTAATAATCAAAAATCATATTTTATTAATACTGGCTTTTTCTCATCAAATTCACATTCTTTCATTATTTTACCTTATTTATCTTTTCTTATAGGTTTAATATAAACTGATCAAATTTTTAGATCAATAGCAACTACACTCCTATATTGGATAGTTGAACTTATTTTAATTTAATTTAAATAGGTTAGTCTGAAATAGTGTAAGGTTGATTTTGATTTAGTTTTATTAACTAAATAGAAATTTTTATATTCTCTTTTCTGTAATTTGTAATGTTATAAAATTTTACTTTACTTTTAATAAAGATTGTGCAAAGCTACCGTATATTAAAAAAAAATAATTATATTAATCTATATAATACAGTATTAATAATTAACATAATAAATATAATTAATATAATCAATATATATAATATATTTAATATATTTAATATAATTAGAGAATAGTAACTATTGTTAAATTCAAAATGATTTTAACTAAAAAAAAATATTGCAAAAGCCAATCAGTATTGACTTAATTATTAAACAAACAGATATTTAAATATCTTGAGTTATACTATATAAAATATATAATTTTACACTAAAATTTTAGACTAATTAATATATTTAATGTAATTAATTTAATTGATATAATTGAAATAGTTAACAAATTATTTTATATAATTTAAAAAATATATATAAAACTTAATTATTTAAGATTTCTTGTATAGATTTCTCATAATAATTTTTCTTTTGTATATTTAGACTACAAATAATATTTAAGTAATCATATTTTACCTTTAATTTAATATTTTCTTTTATATTTTTTATTATTCTTTTTTTTTTTTTTTTTTTAAATTTTTATTATATCTTATCATTAAATTACTAACTTTGTATAATTTATCACTAGTAATTAGTAATCATATGTAAAATATAAATACTTAGTATAAATTTTATTTAGTACAAATTATATACTTTATTACATAAAGTTAAAAAGAATTAATCCTTAATATTTTGGTTTACCTGTTATAATTTGCAAAATTACATATTAATACTATTTTTTTATTTTTTAAAATTATCTACTTTAATAATAAATATTTATTATTTCTTAATTCAAATATATTTTATCATGAAAAAATATTTGTCTTAATAATTTTAAATATAATTTATAAATTTATAAAATAATACTTATTAAATTTTTATAAAATTAAAATCTTTAATTATAGAACTTATTAAAAATTACTTTTACTTTTTATTTTATTAATATAAATATATTTATATATTTAAATTAATTACTTATTTAATTTATTCATATTGTTAATTTTTTCAATTTTTATTTATTTTTTACAAAAATTTTTTAAAGATTTTATTTTTATTTATATAGCATTTTTTTTTTATTTGATTCAATTTTTAAAATATTGATATTGTAACAGGATTGGATTGACGAACGTGACGCAGTATATTGCAGATCTAAATATCAGATATATCAGACATATTTGATATATTTGATATATTTGATATACTGGACATATTAGATATAGTTGATATATTAGACATGTTAGACATATATGACATAACTGACATATTAGACATAGCTGACATATTAGATATATTCGTTATATCTTTCTATATAATATATTTTATATAAATAGGTAACTTGTTAATTTATGTAAAAGGGGAAGAAGGTAGCTTGAGTAGTTTTAGCAGTGAGTGAGATATTATTAGCCGACGTAGGTAACTAATCCTGAAGGACTATCACATTACGTTACAGTTAGAGGCAACCAGGCCTATCACATTACGTTACAGTTTAGAGGCAACCAGGCCTATCACATTACATTACAGTTTAGAGGCAACTAGGCCTATCGCATTACATTTTAGTTTTAGTATTACTCTCTTTTCTTTTTTTTATTATTATTTTATTCGTGAATAAACACAATATTTACAAATATATACTACTGGCAATCTGTTGAATCGTAACTCATTATGATAATATAAATACTTTGATAAATCGTTTGCATTAAAACTTTTAAACTGTTGAAAGATTACTGCTCAATTAAAAAGAATAAACCGCTCGAACATCCTGTTTAACTGTTGTAATTTGCAAGGATTGCACGTTAATATTATTATGCTTTCGTGAATAATAAACTTATTTATTTAATTTTAGATTCAGGTTCTGCTGAAAGTGTTATGTCGAAAAGATTTTATAACAATTAGATAGAAAAATTGAAGATCCTTCAATGATTATAATGATTAATATACAAGGTAAATGCTCATGACCCTTGAAAAAGGTCACTAATATTCCAATCCAAATTGATAATATAGAAATTTCTATTGATGTTAATATAACTGAATCCAATAATTATTATATTGTAGCTGAGAATGATTGGTTAATAAAATGTTATAGATAACTTTATTGGGACTATCAAAATTTTATTTTTCAATAAAATCAGCAAGAATACCAAATCTCTATAACTTGTTAGAAGAAACCTCAATTTGATAAATTCTAACAATCTACATCCATTGCTATAAGTTCTATGAATAATGAATATAAGAACAAAAAACTAACTATATAATAATATTATATGAAAGTGTTTTTAGGAAAATCAGATTCTAAGAAATTTTTGACTAAAATTAAAAGCTTAATACATTTTAATCTAATTATATCAAAAATTAAAATGCAATAAAATCTCAATTTTGCTAAAAAATTCTTGGAATCTGATTTTCTTAGCAATCTACCCATATAATATTAGAAGATAATGAAGAAGAACTAATTCTAGCTAAAGTAATCCTACGCAAGTAATAATTTAAAAATAAACTTATTCAATATTTTAAAAGTCTTAAACAAAAATTCTAATATCAACCACCTAAAAATTCTAAGTGAAATTACACTGATAAGATTCTGAAAATAGATGCTGGTATCATAAACGACTTGATCAAGTAAATGATATTTGTTTACTGTATCAAAAGAAATAGGTACACTGGTAATTATTATAAAATATTTCTAAAGAAGTATCAGCAAAAATTAACTTGTATGTATATTTAGATCAAATATAGCAAAAAACCTTATAACAGTTTTTGCAGGCTAATAAAAATGCATTTGCAAGTAACTTGTTACAATTAGGACATACTGCTATTGAAAACATTATTAATTACGTAATATGTCTCCCATTGATGAAGACAACTGCATTTACTATAAGGATTGACGCCTTCAATTTTTACTTTTTCATATTTATAGAGAACTATTTTTCTGGTTCAAGTCTATATTTCTTTTCCATAAACAATCTTTTTTTGTGAATTATAATAATAAAAACAGAAGGCCTTATTACATAGTTTGTGCTTGTTAAAACTATATATTTAAAGGACTACTATAACTTAGTCTATCTCAATCTAAGTGGCTTATATAATATATATGCTAGATTTTCATTATTTTTCATTATTTTTTTTTCACATTATCAAATATATTATTCACAATATATCAATATCTATTACCTTTTTTATGTAAATATAAACAAATTATTTATTACCAATGCATAAAATTCATTTAATGATATAAAAAGAAATTTTAACATTAACAAATTATCTGTCAAAAATAAATAATGATAATTCACAACCAACTTTAAAATAAAAATTTTGAAGTTACATTTAATACAAACAATACTCTTACCAAAGTTTATTTTAACTTACAAGTTATGTGTATCCTATTTAATGCCATAAGTATTATTGTTAATTATATAGTAATTATAGATAATAGAAATATTACCTTTATCATATCTTTAATACTTATCTTTATTAAATATATTATTTTTAAAGATACTCAATATATAATATTCACAAAAAAATGAATTATGTAATTGCCAATCCTAAAAAATCATCCCAAATTTTTAAGGAAAAATATATTAATAAAACTGATGTTAAGTTTAATAACCCTGATAAGAAGTATAAGATTCTGGATGATGGAGAGTACAGCAATGCAGACACTTTTATTAACCATCCAGAAACTCCTACTACTCATACAACTAAAAATAATGATAATCACAAAACACATGACTTTTGCCTTGATGAATTTGCAATGAATTATGCAAAGAAATATGTAACTTCAATAGTTACCAATTTTAAAAAAGAAGAAGTACATGTGGATTAGTTTGGATCTGACATTGATATACAATCAAAGGTAGAATCAATTTGGATCTCATTAACAGATGATAATGAAAACACTGATTATGAGTTAAATAGTAATAGTAGAAATATGGAAAATCAATGTGTAATCATTGACATTATTAATAGTATAATATAGCAATATACAAATAATGCATATTGTCTAATCAAATAATTAATGGAAGTATAAGAATTAGATTATAATACAGTAAAAATATGTGTCAATGCGAATGGGCAAGGGTCTTTGCATTTACTTGAAATGTGCTCATCTCATTTTAATTAGAATCAGGATAGTGCTCATAAATATAACTTAAAAGACATTATTTCTATTAATAAAAGCTGAATACATCTACGTCAGTGTTTTTTTGTGACAATAATAAGTATTTTGTTAGTAGAGGTAGTTATAAACATCATTCCTGAAAGGTTATAGGACATAATGTGTAAGTTCTGTGCTCTAGCTTAAAAGAATGTTCAGTATTTATGAAAAATAAACTTTATAAAATTTCAAACTGTATAACCTGATTTTGATACATTTGTTCATTTTGTTTTAAAATTGAAGGATATCATTTTTTCTAGCGAAAAGGCAGAGGAGTAAAATCTTTTATCTGTAATAAATATCATAAAAATAATACTTTCAAATTACTAGATTTCATTAGTAAATGAGTATAAAATATAGCAACCAATTCAGACTAATTAACTAAAGATATTTTACTTAAGGAACTTTCAAAAACCATTGTTAATTTTTTTAAAGAAAGGCAGAAGTTTCAAAGGAATGTAAACTTAATGAATCTCAGATATCGCTATAAAAAAGATAAGTTCTTAGTTATATGGTAATAAAAATGACTTTACAATTAAAAAAGTAAACATTAAAAAATTATGTGATATAAAACGATATCATAATTTAAAATTATAAAATATCCTAATGAGTTTGGAAAAGTAATTTGAAGATCTTATTCTAAAATAAAGGAAAAAAAAAGAAACTTGAATCATCATTAATATTTGATGAATATTAGAATAGTTTTTCAAATATAATGCATAAAATCTTTATTCTTAACACTTATCCAATATAACAAGTGAAAAGTTATAAAAAAAATAAAAGCAATGAAAATAAGAATATAAAGAATTTGATAATATATAAGCAGTTAAAATTTTAGCTTTTATAATTTCTGTTATACTTATAGTAACATTCCTTGGAATTAATATTTAGTTGACACATGTTATGAGTAATTTATATTAAAAGCTACAGTTACATTCAACTTTATATGCTATATTATACATGGTTAATGTGGTTTCTCATATAGCACGTTATAAAAAGCAATTAGAAAAAGAAAGATAATTGGAAAATAATCCTAATGAAAGGATTTACGTGATGATAATATATGAAATATATGTGTTATAAACAATGTTGACTTTAAGGAAAAAACATTTTGTTATGACAATATTTTTGATGTAGTTTGACGAATGGCACATATAATATTAATCATTATAATTATAATTTTTATTAAATTTTAATAAAAACATTTTATTTTTATATAAAATTAATTTTAAATGTTTTGAATACTAAAAATAACTTTAGAAAAGAATTTAATATATATAAAAAAAAGATCAAAAATTCAAAAGGTTATTAAACATCTCTAACATTAAGTTAAATTTTATTACTTACAAAAGCATTTATAAAAACTATATATAAAAGAGTTCAAAAGAATCTTTTAAAGTAAATAAAAAGAGAGTTTAAAGAAAACTTTTGACAATATATTATTAGAGATTGTTATTTATTTTTCTTAATATACATATATATAATACACTGTTAATTATCATATCGTAATTATTAAATGCAGATCAGGTGATATTTTGCATGATCATTATATTCAATAGAAAATCTTTTTTAATATAACAATAAGCTTATAGAGTTACACCCTTAAAATAAGAATTTATTAAGAAAGAAATTAATCAAATTTAAAACACAACCTTATTCAACCATTTGAAAGTTTTTGGACTTCACTTGTTGTTTTAGTACAAAAGAAAAATAGAAGCTTATATTTTTATGTTAATTACAGAAAGCTAAATAGTATTACTAGAAGAGATGGATATTTACTACTACAAATTAACAATCTATTAGATATGTTTGGATGTTTTAAATATTTTTTTACCTTAGATTTAGCTAGTGGATACTAGCAAGTGACGATGGAAGCTAAAGATTAAGCAAAAATAGCTTTTATTATAAGTTAAGGGTTATATGAATTTAAGGTTATGCTATTTAGATTAACAAATGCATCTGTTACCTTTAGAGATTAATAAACAAAGTTTTCAAGGAAGAAATTGGATAGTTTGTAGCAGTCTAACTTGATAATATTATTATTTTTTCTTCTACCTTTAAAAAACATATATAATACTTGAAACATATTTTTAAAAAACTAAGAAAGGCAGAATTAAACTTGGCAAGGATAAATGTTAGTTTTGCAAGCTAGAACTTGCATTTTTGAGATATATTGTTAGCAGATAAGGAATCTCATCAGATCCATCAAAAATTGATAAAATTAAGAATTTTTTAATTTCTAAAAATATCATAAAACTTATAGGATTCCTTAGGCTAGCCTCCTATTATCAAAAATTTATTCAAGAATTTTCCATTAAAGCTGCCTGTTTACATTTATTATTACAGAAAGAAAATCCTTTTGTGTGAATTTTAACTTAACAGGAAGCGTTTAAGCATTTGAAAAATTGTTTGATTATAGCATCAATTAATATACCTAAATTTCAAACGAAAGTTTTTACTATTCATTGACAGATCATATATAGGACTCAGAGTGGTATTAGCTCAACTTGATAATCAAAATAAGAAACACATTGTTGCATATGCTAGCTGAAATTTAAATAATGCTGAACGAAATTATATGTTTACTGAATTGAAATATTTTGCTACAATTTTGAAAATAAAACATTTTAGATCATATTTACTTATCAACTATTTAAGTTAGTTACTGATTATGCAGCATTACAATGGCTATTTAATAAACCTGATCACTAAGAAAATTTATGATATAGATTATCAGAATTATTGAGTTTCCTTACAAAATTAGATACAGAAAAGAAAAAATATATTTAAATATAAATGCTTTATCTTAACTTCTCTCTTTTTCAATTTAAATATGACTTAGAAAAATAAACAATATATAAAGTAAAAGCTTAAGTATTAGCAGTATGACTGATAGCTTTAATAATTAAAATGGATTTAAAAAATTACAACTAATTTTATAACTTTTTTAACATCCTAACTTATTTACTAAATACAATTCTTGCATAATGACTCGAAATTAGAAAATATCCTTTAAATATTTTATTACAAATCAACAACTCTATTGTTTAAATCAGAAACAACCTTTACAATCACTATTAGTCATAAAATTTATTAAAGTTAAAACTTTAATTTACAATATATATAATGAACCTCTAGGAGGACATTTAGGTCATGATATTATTTACAATAAAATAGCCACTAAGTATTATTAGCCCAATATGTATCGAATTATTGACAATTAGATAAAAACTTGTAATACATGTCAATGGCAAAAAAAATCTAAATGAGTAGAAGCTGCTGCAACCTCTGACTGTACCTCTTAAATAACTGCATAGTTTATTTATAGTGAAATAATTTGTCGTCATGATACATCAAGAGAAATCTTAACTGATTAGGCCACATCTTTTTAGAATAAATTAGTTGCTGCATTCATGCATATTGTTAGAACTAAATATAGATTATCATTTCTATACCACTCTTAAACTAATAGATTAACTAAACAATTTAATCAAACTCTTTATAATATTTTAGCAAAATATGCAGAATAACATAAAGGTGAATGAAATTCATATTTACCTTTAGCTTTATTTGCCTATCAAACTGTTCAGCAAGAGACAACCAAATTGGAATCTTTTAAATTACTATATAGAAGAAAAGTAACGTTACCTATTGATTTATAGCTACAACATCTTTCTTCTAAAAGTAACCTTTCATAAGCAATACATAAATATTATCAGTTAATTTCTGCCTAATTAGAATAAAGGAAACTTGATGTATAATAAAATATTCTGCAATATCAACAATAATAATAAGAATATTACAAAAAAAGTCATCCTGGAATAAATTATCAAATTAAAGACAAGATGTTAATGTTTAATATACTATAGTTATACATATAAATTTAATGGACTGTTTTACATACATGATATCATACAATCTGATATATACAAATTATATGCTTTAGATAAATGAGTTAGAAGGAATCCAGTACATACTGATCTCTTGAAACTATATTTAAAAAGATCTAAATAGATATCACAGATTATCATTAGTTAAATCATATTTCTTATAAATATAAGCCTAATGAAGACTTTAATGAAACTATTTGATAAAATTTAAAATAGTCATACTAGATAACTTTGAAACTATTTTAGAATAACTGAAAAATATAACAGATCTATTAACTACAAATATTCAGATCTTAGAATCATATAATGCTAATATGACTTTATCACAAAAAGTGCAATTGACTTACTGAGCTCTTTTATGATCAATATACATAAATAATCAACTTTTATCATTTATTAATTCTTTTTATTTAAAATGACTTCTGGATGATGAAACTCTTACTCCTGCTCAATAAACTCAACAAGCCTCTACTGTTACTACATATTATTATCAAACTGTTATATGAATCTTCTATTTGTTTAAAAATCTTGGAGTCCAACAAATTTTTGGTACTTAGTCACTTACTTTGATAATGATTTGACATTTAAAGATTACTGAATATCAAGCTTTAGTAATTGAAGCTTTGAATCTTTTTGCTAGAGTAGAAATCTTAAGTGAGAAGTAATATAATCAGATTGAATTGATGAACATAGCGCAGAAGAGTGCAGATCCAAATGTTAAACATATCAAACATATTTGACATATAGGATATATTTGATAAATCTAACATAACTGATATATTAGATAAATAGGGCATATTGGATATATTTGATATATTAGACATATTTGATTTATTTGTTATATTTATTTATGTATTAAATTTAGTATAAATAGAAAATAATAAAATCATGTAAACTTTAGTTTGTTTTAGTTCATTTTTTTAGTTTTTTTAG